CTCTAATCAGTCTAACAATGTCAGGTGGGAGACTGCGATGTCGGAGAGCTATAGGCTGTCTTGTGGCGTTAGACAAGGTGGGTTAACCTCTCCTGATCTATTTAATGTTTACATGAATGACTTGATTGAGGAGCTGAGTGGGACGGCAGTTGGGCTTAGGCTTGGTGATAGGTATGTCAACAACTTGAGTTACGCTGATGATATGGTTCTGCTCAGCCCCTCAATCAAGGGTATAAGAAGACTATTGGCGATTTGTGAGAAATATGCGCGAGAACATAATCTAGTATATAACGCGAAGAAGACTGAAATGCTTATATTCAGATCAGGAAGAGGTCCACGTAATGTCCCACCAGTTTGGCTAGGAGGTCAGATTGTTAGAATAGTAGAAAGTTTCAGGTACCTTGGTCACATGCTGACGTCAGATATGAAGGACGACGCTGACATAGACAGACAACGCAGGGCATTGTCAGTCGTTGGCAATATGATAGCTAGGAGATTCTTTAAAGCCAATGCCCAGACGAAAGTTCACCTATTTAGAACGTACTGTCAAAGTTTCTACACGTGCCAACTTTGGACTCGTTACACGAGGAGGTCTCTGGATGGTATTCGTGTCCAGTACAATAACATCTTCAGACAGCTAATGGGTCTAGCCCCGCACTGTAGTGCGTCGGGTATGTTCACAGAAGCGAGGCTGGACACGTTTAATGCTATACAGAGAAAGCGAATCGCTGGATTCTTGTCTAGAGTTGGCACTTGCACAAACAGTATCATCAAGGAGTTATACAACCGATTGTATGCCACGTCTGTATATAAAAAATGGATGCAAATTGCAGCGTAATGCTGTTCAGGTTATTAAGGTTATTATTATGTTTTAGTTTATGATAAATTGTTTTTTTTTTTTCTCGTTTGTTTCTGTCTTACTTTTTCTAGATAATATTAGTATGTGCTGTTTTTTTTTTGTTCCTAGTAGTATAAGATATGGAGTGTACAATCAATCCGAAATAAAGAATTTATTATTATTATTATTATTATTATTACATTATTTGAATGACATGTAAACAAGGTTCATAACAACACTTTTGCAAATAATTTTAATAATAATTATTAGACCGTAATTTCCACTGGCCCTTGCCACGTTAGTACCTCGAACATCGTACCTTGAGAAGTGAGTTTTAACTTGGATGATCACGATACTCATTAAAAGGATAGCTGTGTAAAAAGCTCTTAGTGATATTAGAGAATTTCGGTCCACTGCGGTCCGGTGTGTCCAGGCGTAATTTTACGGGTGGCAAGCTTTAAGTAAAAATAAATTCTTCTGCTGTGAGGTTTAGCCATGAGAGTTAGTTACACGTAATAGACGAAAATATGGCGTCATCGTAGGTACTGTTTGAGGGAAGAGTACAGGTGTTTTATAAAGTGGGTAGTGAGTGGTCGGGTTCATTTTGCTATTAGGTACATGACTTTTGTAAAAAGGGTGCATGCATTTACTTTTTCTATGAGAAGATTAATAACATGACAACCCAACAGTACAAGAGTGTATGACATCACACAATTTTCTATGAATATACTCAAGACATTAATCTGCACTCGAGGTTAAAAACATTTGAATAAACATATAAATCGTAGCGTACTTACTTATACAGTTCCACAACAATCCAACGAAATGCTAAAATTAGAATTGGTTTTGTATGTAATTTCAAAGAATACATTTACTCTGAGTACTGAACTATTGTTAGTGTGTGTGACCGACGGCACCTTTGTGCCGTCCACTACATCCGACCGACTGCGAGCACTCCACTGCGACACAGACGCGTGCTAAGCGCTCATACAGTTTGTTCACTTCCAACGCCTTTTGAGTTTTTGAGCTTTAGAGCTCTCCATGACATGAATTTTTTTGCACCCAATCTCCGATGCAAAATCGGACGACTACTCCAACCGGTTCATACCGTTCACTTTGCACTAAAATGTTTCCAAATCCCTACTTTTTTATTTCAATTTTCCGAAGCTGTATCGATTATCGACATCGTTAATCCCGAATCGATGTTTTTAATTCGCATCGTAATTAACTTCAATTACTGAAATAAAATGCGGATCGTTAAGCTTTTTAAATTGGATCAGTATTGTATAATTTGATTTTTATTTTTCTGCTCTGTTGGTTACCGTCCTTCTTTTAATAGATGTTCTCCCGATTTTCGTTTAAAGGATTCCACCTTTAAGAAATTGAGATGATTATTAGGGTTGTTTTTTTTTCAAAATGCTTTGTGTATTATTTTCAACTGATCCAAATTAAATGATTGCAAAATATTGTTTTATTTATCTTCTACAGGAAGAAAGTAATCGAGAGTTTGTTTAAGTAACTTTGTTTGTTTCGATACTTTCGCATGATTATAATTTTATGGCCGGTAAACTTTTACTCGCAGTCTCTTTCCTTTGAATTTGTAAACAATGAAGTGTTATTTATGGGTTTAATATTCTGTTTTTCATGTAAGGTATATACTTCAACACTAACATTAATTTCAAAGTTTGTATTTTTTTTAGTACTACGGGTCTGTCTACGATAAGACGTACGTGCGTGCTACGAGTGCTACGACACGTAATACATCAGTGCTACGCCGTAGCATAGTTGACTTGCTACGACTACGTAGCATTTTAACTTTAGCTTAGTAATTCCTTCTAGTAATACAATCCTATTCTTTCGTCTTTTGCAAAATTGACTGACTGGTAGAAAGTAAGTTAGATGAATAAGTCCATCAATAGACATTTGTGTACAAAAATCAGTAAGTTACACATCTCAAAACTGTTTAAATACCCATTCAATAACATAAAACACACGGAAAGATCTCACAACACTACCACCAGTAATGTATCAACCGTATGGCACATTAAACACGAAAGGCTCAACTGGGTCTGGCCAAACCACGCAATACCTTTCACGTACTAAGAGCAAGACTCCTGATTACTCCGTATTTTATCTAGTAAGGCTTTAAGGGAATACCCAATGAGGCTTACGGAGCATATCTTGGTAGTTAAAAGAGATTCAACGGTAATATCCTAAGATTAGAGAGACTTAATCTTAACAAAGAGCTTGTGGCTTCACTAAGATAACCTATAAGTACATGTATCTGATGTAATCAATGTTTCGTATTGAGATTTGGGGACACAAAATTACATCGGATTTGAAGATTTAGGAAAATATGTTGTGACATTTTTTTTAGGGTCCCGTTGTCAAAAAACGTTGGGAAAAGTTTTTATAATATAATTATGAGATGTATTTCTATTACAACAAAATATTACAATTAAATTAATGAATATCCGACTAAAGTTCTCCTTCAATTAACCTGATTTTTTGTTGTTTCTTTTATAGATTTTGGTACTTAAATTAATTCTTAAATCTCAATCTACCAAGAATACTGCATTTTATTCTCAAAAATAAAAACACAAGAGAAGGGTTTGTGTCCTATAAACTTCTTTCCTTCTTAAACACTAGACGCAGCAAAAAATAAAATATGAAATACGCCAAGCCGCTTGTCATAATACTTCCCCAGTTCCCATAAAAGTGCCATGAAACTAAAGAACCTATAACGCTATAACAAAGGACCCTCTCGCAGCGGCGTATTAAATTATATCAGCTTCGGCTGTATGAACGGGCGTGCGGAACCATTCACACTATGGTCACAAAAAAATTGGGAAGTAGAAGGTCAAATATACATTTTTATATAAAAGTTTCATAGTTGTCAAAAAGTATAAAAGACAAGAGGTAAATCTTACTAATATTTTAAGGAAAGAGGAATTCTTTAGTACTGAAAAAGGCATGATCCCAATCAGGTTCGGTGATAATGCTTAGAAAGCTACTACCTAATAATAGTTGTGTGTTGTAAATTCGAGTGAATATCAACAGAACACAGTACTGTGACTGACAGAATATTATGCAAACAAATACGTTGTAAATATGTATTCTGTATCACTTTCCAAAGCTCTAAAAAGTAAAAGGAACTTTATAGTCTAATATTTCGTAGTTCCTTGAAGATTGGAGTCACAAAGTTGCTTAATATCTAATGTGGAGAATCGTAAACGAAAATGAACCTTCTACTCTTACACGAATAGTGTGTGCTAAAAACTTGCATTGTTTTAATCCTGTAATCTAGACAATGGGTTCGCCTTTTGTATGTATTGTCACGTAACTATGTCGTTTTAAAGCCGAGGGATTTTGTTCTTATTAGAAATCTTGTCGTGTTGGTGAACTTGTTAAATGAGCCGGGATTGTCAAAATGTTTTGCAATAATAACAGATATTTGGAGCTTACAAATTGCCTGGAACTCACGTAGGGTACTTTCGTAACTCATATATATCTTCAGCATCAAAACATTAATGTTTTCCTCACCATTTTCGTCTACTTTAGCAAAATAAAAATTACTGGAGCGTCAGGATAAATGGTCTTACGTGCGCTCGACTAACTATCAGAGACGCGATAGTTATCGCCCAACCACTACCGCGAGACAGCGTGAAAAAGTACTTAGACCACAAATTAACAAAACTACGTACCAATAAACTTCTGTAAACACAACAGAGATAATTTATTCTGATTTTGTGACAAAAAATGTTAAGTAATCGTTAAAAAGATGAATTTTGTAATGAAAATATCTCCCTCGAAGTGGTCGTTGATGACAATTTCGCCGAAATAAAATACAAAAGGAAAAAAAAACAGTAATTTTGAATAGGCAGCTCCCAAACACGAAGCCCGCGGTTGCGTCCTTTTCCCAGAGGTCAGAGTATGTTAAAATATCTCATGAATAAATAAAACCTCTTTTAAACCAAGATAATTTGACAAGGCGGTATCATAATCTCAGGTGGCGCATAAAAATGAGGGGAACTCCCAAGAGACAATATTGAATATTAAATATAAATTAAAGAAAGAATTCCATAATAAAAAGTTATCGACATTATCTAAGAGTTGTAATAAATAAGTTATGTTTTATGCATTTGACGAAGTCTGCTTTATTTTTCATAACGTTGCGTGAAGTCATTTTCTGGTACGATGGTTTTTGTTCTGAATTTGAAGCCAAAAGATCCGATGTTCAATTATGTAGATACTAATAACATTTTGTGCTTTGATATATTTAGAGTCACCAGTTGAATGTTTCGATATGTTTTCTACTACTATAATTTATAATGCAACTGATTCTAATGAGGCTATATTTTAGCGTGCATACTTATCCTACTGCTAGGTTTCACTTTTGCTTATTTAGAATACACAGTTGTCCTCCTCAAAATTACCCACGACAACATACATGAAAAAATGTCCATAACAGAGTCACATCTGCTAACTGTAGCAGACAAAAGTAGTTTTGACAACAAAAACTTTAGTTTACCTACTCACATAAAGTCCTCTACTTGTCAAGTGTGAGGGAATATTCACAAAAATGCCTCTGAAAACTTGTAATACCACACAAAAAAGCAAAGGGGAAAATGTAAACAAATGACAAACTTTTACCGTCATTTAGCGTAAAGTGTAGTTTTGCAGGCGCCCACCTAAACGTGCTTAATAGCTGGACAGTGGACAAACGAGCGGACTTTGGTAAAACTGAACTGAATGTGAGAGAAATGTACCGTCAACGGAATGTCAGAGTGACCATTTAATTGCTGACCCCCTATTATGTTGCTTTTTTCACGATTAGAGGATCAAAAAATTCTGGAAAATTACTATATAATGTGCCATCGTCTATGTGAAATTGTTATAGGAAATATTCTAGAAGCTATGAAGAAATTAAACTGGTTCAATGTGTATTTTTCATAGGTTTGTGGTTGTGAAACCGTAAGTATAAATACTTGGAATTTGAG